GTGGTGGGCTATATGCTAAGAACACACACACACACACACACACACACACACACACACACACACACACACACACACACACACACACACACACACACACACAAGATCACAGAATAAAGTTGGAGTCTACAGAAACATGGCCTCATAACATTGCTGGCAAATGAAAGTGCATTGGCCATGTTTGCGAAAGATATATCACATGATAAAAAGCCCATGCTTTGTCTGCACTGCAACGTGAGCCTGGTGTTTCAAATGTATCTACTTTAGAGAGGATTTTGGAAAACCATCCATTTCCTCAGTATGATCTTGCTGGCTTAGTACAGATGGAAAGCCAAAACAGAGAGAAAAAGATGAGTTTTAGAATGGATCTGGATTAGAGCAGACGTGGTCTGAGAGTGAGAGGGAATGAAAGGCAGATACGAACTGAGAAGAAAACTGGGGAAGTTGAGGGGAGACGACAGCCAAATAAAAGTGAAATAGAGTGAGAAGTGAGTGAATACGTGGAGTAAGTGCCTGTTTCAATAGAGGAGAGAGCAGAGCCAGGCGACTTGCTCCTGGATGGGTCGATAGATATGAGCAGAGAGCTGCTGGAATAATTGAGTTCGGTCATCCGGAGTGTGAAAAGTGCCAGAGCAGCAGAAAATAGCAATAACTCAATGAGATTAGAGGTGAGATTTACAATGTGTATGATCGACAACAGAGATTCCTCCATATCTCTCTGAGAGCAGCAGAAAGCTGCTGCTCCATCCAAAGGGGCAGCAAGGGCACCTTGTAAATATTTGTTGGCACCACTGGAGCTTTACACTGACCACCAGCGCTGGGATCGATACTCTCAGCTCCCAGATGTCATCTCTAAGCTTTTGGGATGACATACTCCATACTCTAGCTGCCTGTGTTGATGCGGGGAAAACAAAGGTACCCACATGTATTGGTGCATGATTTTGCATCTTCTAAATTTCATTTACAAAATGAAAAGATCAGTCATAGCCGCCTCACCAATCTCCCCATGACTGTACAAATGTGTTCCGACAAAATGGGAAAATGTCATCTGCATCAGTATGAATTATGGCCCATCTTTTTTGAATATACTGTGTATTGTTAAGCCTTGGGCAGTCTCAAATGGTAGCACTTCATGCTTCATTAACTAAAACAAAACACTTGCATGACATTTTATATATGCACTTTCTACATGGTTTATTTTGTTCATTCCAGTCACTAACTCGGGCCAGTAAGCATTTTTACAATGGGTGGAGATAAGCCTGCTCCTATGACGGTTTCCCTTCCCTGTTCTCCCCTTCTTCGCTCCCTCCACCTCTTCCCTGCCTCGTCCCAGCCATGACAAAGTGAAGATGGGCTGTGGCATTGGCTGCCATTCAGCCTGACTCTCTCATCGGCCCCACAGAATGCAGGGTCCCCCAGAGTAACAACTGCTGCGTTTTATTACTGCGTGAAATGGGGAGTGAAAGACTGCTATGGATGTTCCTACTTAACCATGCTGAATGTGTCACTATTGGGTAGGAAGATAAGTGGACAAAGGGGAAATCAGCCGCTCAAATGCTTTTGTTAAGACTAACAGCTCAAGTCCATAGAAAAAACCCTTGCTCTTGTTTACATCTCAGAGTAAAACCATTTGTGTCTTTTTTAGTTGAAATTTGTCCAGAAATATGTTAACATCACATAGGGTAATTACATGCATTCCTTACGCTATTCAAACAGATGGAAGCTGTGTTGCCAGCTGGAGAGATTCGCTTGAGGGAGACCCAGACGTTGGCACCCAAACCCAGCAGTTACACTATGTCCAGCTCAATTATGTTCTGTACTCCAGTTCCATGGTGTGTTTTCCCCGATTAGATCTCAGAAGTCAAACACTAGCATAGCTATTGACGCCTCAAGATGTGCAAATGCTTGAGGGCTCCAAGCCTCTAGTGGAGCCAATAATACAAAGTGTTAGACCACAGATATCTCCTGATCGATCCCATTTGTAGAATAGCATCAGTTTTATGCACCATTCATACATACAGGAAGTTTGGTAGTGATTTAGTATTTTTTCATTTGTTGTAATTAGCAGTTTTGCTGTAGACTTTCTACAGCAAAAGTAGCAGAAGCATATGTTTCAGGATGAGGGTGTGTATCTGCATATGATCAAGTGGAGCTGGCGGCCCCCCTACCCAAAAAAAAATTGCACAAGAGCTTAAGGAAAATATGTTATGCTTTTGGCAGCATCAGTAGTATGGTTTAGATTGAGCACCAAACTGTGTAAATATGAATCAGATAAAAACGAATAGGACTGATTGATGAGAGCACCTTTGTAATTATATACAGCCATCCTATTTGCTTTGGCAAGACATCCGTCGTCGGTCCTCCTCTTCCATTCTTAAATGTCAGGTTGTGGGTGTGTCTGGGGAGGAACGCTGACAGATTGTCAGTTTTCAGCACACCTGCAGGGAGCTCTCCCTGCCTCGACACAGACGCTTATCTTTTTTAAGACCGCCGTTTACGAGATATATCCGCTCATTCAGCAAAAATAACTCTCCAGATATAAATGTTTGAAATACAACTTCCTGTTCAAATTTAGCAGTTTTTGTTAGTTGGGAACTTTTGCCCAAAGAGTTAAATAAAAAGAAAAAAAAAAAGAAAACTGGGACTCAGAGGGTGAGACAACACTAAACACACAGCCAGCATTCTGATCTGTGTTGCAATATCCTTGGTACGCAATGTGCTGTGTTAATTCATGCTGCTTGGCACGCAAGCCCGAGAATCTCGAGGTAACGATGACTTTATTTTCACTTGTATAGTTGTGATTGTGGCAAACCAGAAAAGGATTCATCTTCAAGAAAAGCCAGTGGAATGCATTCAGTCCATGCACACAAGATCTTTCAATGAGTAAAATGAGCTTGATCCCCTGGCTTATGTGTGTATGTTCAGTGATTTGTAGAAGGATTTGGGGGATTTAATATATGCGCCTACTGGCAGAATGTCCTTTAGACACGGGTGCAGCACACAGTTATTGCCTCAACACCTCATTGTTCCAGCACGGTGCTTGTGCGAGGCTGGGATGCTGAGTTTGCTGCTACTGCCCGTCTTCGCCGCAGGCTGTACTCTCAGAGGACACAATTGAGAACAGAATTCATGATATAAGGTCACCATATTATTAATAGCAGATGATGATAAAACTGCATAGACTCTGTGGCCGATGAGGCATAACTTGGACAGTGCAATTGAGCTCATATGTCTGTGTAAAATCTCAGAGGTGTTGCTGTGGTTTCACCTGATCAGCTCTGTAGAAACCACATTAGTTTCTTTTGGAGCTCTCAGCTGTCATAACTACATGCTTTTTCTCCAAGGTGTCCAATTTTCCCTCTGGCACTTTAAATTTTATACCATCGCCAGAGAGATATCTATATTGCTGTGCAGTAATTAAGAAAATACCATCCCCTCCCAGCCTCCTTTACTCTCTGGAGCCGGCAACACTCAGCACACTGTCCACACAGGGCTTTCATGGTTGCCCAAGATGAGGCTGGGTGAACCAGAGAGCCGAAGCTGAATGTAATTGAGCGTTGGCAGCAGTGTGCATGGTCCTGATTGCAGCATGTCCCTCCAGAAGCAAGGTTTATGTTTCATCATGTGCCCGTCCACCGCACTCCATAAAAAGCAAATAAACTTTTCACTGGCAATGGCATAATAATGACAGAGTTGGCTAATGAGCGAATTAAAGTCATAAATACAAGCCTGGCCCCCTGACTGAGATGTGAATTTTCTTACACCAACTTTGTGTTAAATGCACTCTCTACAGTAGGTGCCCTTATTTAACCACTCTGTACTGTACCTTACATAACACTAAAAATTGTTCAGATAATTTTTTTTTCAGTATTTTCTTATTCTGTCTAAAAGTGAACCTCCACTAGATCTCTTTGATTACTTTATTGTATGTCCCTCTCCCACTGACCAACATATTGGACTGTCCCAGATGAAGAATGTAGGCAGATGTGTTGAAAATGTACTGCTGTGCCTTGTCTTAGAGCTATAACAGCTTAAATTAAATGGAGTTGAATGAGCGACTTTGGCAGGTCTTTGGTTGGTGTGGTTTGGGCTGCTCCCAGTGCAGCACAGAAGCGGCCTGGCAGTGGTTTGACTGTTTGACTGAACCTGCTCTTCTCTTTCACACCAGCTCTCAGTGGCCAGCAACGGGAGCATATAAGACCCTAGCTTCTTTCAGACCTATCGAAACACATTCCCTTTCCTGCGGCAGCATCTGCCTGATTCTATTGGACTTGCATGGACTTTTGTGTTATATTACATTCTGCTTTATTGAATTTGATTTATTCAGGGTGTGTTGTAGTACTTAAAGCGAAAGGAGTTTGACTAGATTGGTAAACTTTTCATTTTAAATTTTATCATCCCATTATGCTTGGCAAAATGACTCCAAGCTGCACTCACGCTGAAGCTTTTTTTCTTTTAATCCGTGCCTTTTGCCAAACATTCAGTAAATTTGTTCCACGTGTTAAAAATGGGAATCCCAAGAACATTAAACCAAGTGTATCATCTATGAAGCGCTCTCTGTTCAGCGTGGTAAAGAGAAGGGAATTTGGTGCCAGCACCGGAGTGTATCAGGCCCAGACATGAGCAGGAGAAGTAGCAGGATGAGTATGAGGCATAGACAGCATGGGGGGCTAGTAGTGTTAAGGCATAAAGAGGGAATCTGCCGTGGCACACCAAGCACACTCAAACACAAGCATCACAAGATTTCTTGACACGTGCAAGGGTGTGGCTGTCTACTCATAATGGACAACCCTTTTGCCCCATATTTGCTTTTGTAGAAGATTGTTGATTTCCCTTGAAGGAATGCCGGGCATCTGTAACAAAAGGAGGTGTGACTGGTTGTTGTGAATGTGCAGGGGAAGTGGCTGAGTGAGTTGCCTGTCAGGCAGCCAACCATCTCCACAGCAGTGGCTCTTTGATGTGGCTGGCTCTTTGAAGAACTGACACCCTTCTCCTTTTCACAGTGCCTGGAGCCCTGCAAGGAATCCTGGGACCTGAAGGAAAACCAGTGCCAGGATTTATGCGAGGTATGTCACTACCACAAATACTGTGGTTGCCTCAGTCTCAAGTGTTTGAGCTTTTCATACTTAGTAGGCAATTCAATGAGAGGAAAGTTTGAGAGGAGTGTGAAGTAACTCTTTCTGCGCTGTAACGACACTCTCTGTGAGGCTGAATCAAAGCTGTTTAATGTCCTCACTACTCCAGTGAGTCATAAGCTGAAATGTAAACAGGACAATCCCTGTTAGCTCACAGAGCTGCCTGTTTCCAGCCAGTTAGGTTGGTTTTAGAAGGTGATGTGACATATGTTTTTCCTCTCCTTCTCCTTCTCATCCTCCCCTTACTCCTTAGCCCCTCTTTCCCAAGAAGCACTATGAGTGTCTTACAAGCTGTGAGTTCCTAAAGTCAGTAGAGGGAGTGAAGCAAGGTGACTGTCCTGCCCCAGAGAAGGCCAGCGGCTTTGCAGCAGCCTGCGTTGAGAGCTGTGAGGAGGATGGAGAGTGTTCAGCCGTGAAAAAGTGCTGCTCTAACGGCTGCGGCCACACCTGCCAGCTGCCTAAGAACCTCTACAAAGGTAATACGACAGGCTAAACTTGCATCACATATTACAATAAAATGATCCCCAACAAATACTTGTAAATAGTTGTAATCCTTGATTTTACGACACCCGTGACGACCAATCCTTCAGCAGCTACATTGTCAGAACAGAAGAGCCACTTGGGTGTCTGTTTACATTGCAGCCAAGCAAACTCATCTTGTTTCACCTTAGTAGGTTTCCATACAACTGCAGTTCACAGTAGAAAGAGTTGGTTAGCTTACTGAGACGTTTGAGGAGTATAGCCTGTCACGTGCAATTCTTAACCTGTGGCTGCTCTTCTGTGTTGTATTATCGTCATGGCAAAAATGTGTGTGTTTTTTTTTGTTAGGTGCATTCTGATTTACTTTGTTAGGTGCATTCTGATTTACTTTGAGTGAGAGAGAGAGAATTGTAACTGTAAGTAATTGCAAATAATTAAAATTAAAATTCTTTGCATTTACATTAAAATTAAAATATGTTATAAACATCATAAACATGTGAAAGTGAAGTTTGTGATCTTAATACATCACCAGTATCCGCTTTATTAAATTTTAATAGTCCAATAGTCAGGTGTCCATAAACACGATTAAGTCCGCCATATCAACTGCAATGATAAATTATAATCTTAAACACATCAGTGAACATCATAATTTATTAATTAGAGGAAAAAGGGAGTTCTACCACAAGCCACTGATAAAGTTGCTTAATTATCCGTGCACTCAGCAACTCATCTCTTTATTTAATCATTGCACTTCTGTTTCCAAGAGGGACCAGATTAACACGATTCGTCAGCTGAATCATGGATACTCCCTCCCTCTCTATTTATCCTACTCAATAAATGATGTTTCATATCTGTTAACCGTCCAACGCGAAAGTCATGTTTTTAATGTGATCATTTTCATTATCTGTGTCGAACAAATGAGTCCCACTCTGTCAAACATTAATTTAAAATCTCAATGACGCAAATTGCAGATGATCTTAAACAAATTTTGACAACTTGCTCACAATCATATGTTTTTATTTCATCTCTTTGTATTCTACCTCACCCGCTCATCCTTCATGCTGGTTCTGTTGTCTATTGGAATATATCTTCAGTCTCAGATTTGCTGGATAAGCTTGAGGGTTTCACAGACACAGATGTACCCAGGAATCTTTGCTCCAATAAAACTGTTTAATGGTGTTGCCGTAGGCGGTCTGATGTTCTGAGGGTGCTGAGTCGTTATGTGAGCGAACCAAGAGCCTCTGAACTTGGTGATGGGAGCTGGAACTACATTATATACACTATCAGCACAGTATTGCCAGCAGCCTGGGGCCATAACAAAGTTGGGGAGATGTTGAAGTGAGAGCAGTGGAAGATGAGTCTAAACCAAGCTTTGAACTGCAGAAATGATCAACTATATGCTTTGAACCACACCGCAGTGAGTGTAAGCATATTTTGTGCACGCTGTATTAAGTTGACAGAGGCAAGAGCATGTGATTCGAGCTTGTGCACACAGAAGAGCATGCTAGTATTTATGTTTGATTTAGCAAAATCCGGAGGGACTTCACGGTAGATGTCATGCTCAAAAGGTGAATAGTTAATCGGGGAAAGATGAAGGCAGGCGTAACCTTGAAAATGTCAATAAGGTGACCTGGTCAATGGAAACCATTCACAGCACTGTGAGACCTTCAAATTAAGCAGTCTACCCGCTGATTTAGGCAAACACTGAGCTCATGATGGGTCGCCGTCAGCACTGCATTTACACTGAATTACACTGAGTGTTTTGGTGAAAGTCAGGATGGAATTCCTCTCCCAGTCCTCAGTGTTAAAGGTCTAATTAGCTGCTCATGGTCTGAAGAGCGTAATTGTTTCTATGTGTGCACAAGTGTATATGTAGTCTTTGCCATGATGAGCCATGATGCTGGAAGCCATTAACAAATGCAAGCGGAGAGAAATTGAGCGTTTCCCCCACTGAGATCACTATCAGATGTGTGTGTATGTGTGTGTCCTCAGGTTAGGGTATATATATATATGACACTGGACCCCCATCGTGCCTTTGATGTGTAACAAAGCTTCTTTTTTTTTCAGTAGAGCCTGATTTTGTTATCATCCACTGCTCTGTGATGTTGCCTCAAAGATGTGTTCTCGGAGGTGTGTCTCGGCTACAATATGCTTTGCACGTATGGAAATAGGTGGTTTATTAGGCTCTTCTGTATCTTTCATTTTCATATATTTCTAGTTCTCTCAATTTGCGTAAACAATGAAATGCAACCCAACGTTTTATGCATGGGAGCTCAGAGGTGGGTAAAACAAAGAATATGCAAAAATTAAATTAAATTCTGCGAGACTTTTCCTTACACTGTCACAACAACTCAGCCAGTTAATCGGTCCATCAGCCATCCTCAGTTTACGGTAAGACCTTGTGCTACAAGCAGTATTTGTAGTGTTTTCCTCAACCCCTGTAATTAGATCAGTCATTATGACAGTATGTGCGTGAGTATTGAGAATTATATTCCTGGAGTGTAATTGTTGGCATGATTAAGACATGAATGGACGCCATACTCTTGATCGTGCTTCAGCAGCAGTTACATCATGGTTTGGAGTAAGCGTGTGGCCATTGAAAAATGAATGCTGTATGATTCTTGGACCAAACTTGACCCGAAAGTTATCTTTGGAAAGAGCAGGCTGAGAGAGAGTGTATTCGTTGCCCTCCTCCACATTGCGGAAGAGGGAGGTTGTGTGTGTGGTTGTATTTATGTGTGGTTTGTGCTTTGCAGGAGTACTTGTGTGACTTTGTGGGAAGATGAGCTAAGACAGAGGGAGAAGAAGAATGCTGTGGTTACCTTGGTGTTCATTATTGCGCAGGAAATGTGACACGTTTGTTCACAGACACACACACTCGACTGTGGAGCTGTGAAACCACAGCACAATGACCCCCAGCTGTTAGCATGCAGAAAGCTGCTATCAGTGGGACAAAACAAAGTAATGACTCCATATGCATGTGGCTCAAGGACCCTCCCCCATCTTCCAGGATTTCATATGCATCAATCACTTTTACATGCACTGAATGAAGAATGAATAGAGATATAAGTAGATCAAGCGCACTGCATATAAAACACAGTCTTGATTATGTTGTTTACCGACATGAAGCGCAGTAGCCTTGAGCGCGTGTTGGTGCTGTTTATAAATGCGGAGCAGTGGTGGGCTGCTCAACAGCGACAGCAGTCCAACATAATGGTCTGAAGTGCTAGGTGATTTATTGAGAACTGTGGGATGTGTTCAGCCTTCTCCTGTACTTCCAAACTTGCTTTTCCAATCTCCATCTCATTATCACTGTACCCAGCGCTCAATCAACAACTCAGTACGTCTCCACTGCAATAAATTCACTTGAGAGAGTCAGTCTGACTTGGCTGAGCATTTGGCTCAGTCCTGCGCTTAATAAATCTCTAATTTATTGCACATGGCCACATCAGCTTTGTCTGAAAGGCTGAATGTGAAGGCCAATGATGCACATGAACTTTACATGTATGTGTGTATGTTTGCACTGGTGTATTTTCTGTCTGCAAGAGAGAGAGAGAGACGTTATGCGAGCCATCTTGCATACCTAGATGCAAACTGTGTGTATCATTACTAAGAAGCGCAGCTACTAAAACACATCCCTCTGGCCAGGAAATATCACAATCTGTCACAGTAGAAAGATGATGCTGTTGACCCACAGCATGTATTAAATCTATTGCGGTGAGGTCATGTCTCATTTTCAAATCTGTATCTGTCCAACCCCGATGGTGTCATTTATCTTTCCACCCAAGAAAGGAAAACAACAAATTTTATGTTGAAGTTCACCTACAATGTTCCACACACCGGTGATATTAACTGGTATCGTCTTCCTTGCTTGCACTTTTAGGAGTCCCTCTGAAGCCGAGGAAAGAGCTGGTGTTTGTGGAGCAGCCGTCAGGTCAGCTGGAGATTCGCTGGTCCTCCAAGTTTAACATTTCTGTCGAGCCTGTCCTCTATGTGGTGCAGCGTCGTTGGAATTATGGCATCCACCCCAGTGAGGATGATGCCACCGATTGGGAGACTGTGGCGCAGGTAGGAATCTGCACACCATACTTGCAAAATACTGAACCATGTAACTGAGAAGAAAATTTTTTCATCACATATTGTTATATGAGGGATTCTTTTTATCAGACATTTTGGATTTGTATCACTAAGAAATGTCAGCTTCACATGTCCCAGCGTGCCACATGCTACAGCTGTGAAAGTGCTGCACTGTGCTGACAGACGGTTGCACGTGGTTGCGCATTCCTCACAGTCACAGTGTCTTTGAAAGTTTGGCAAAGAGAAACACACAGATGACTGATGTGGCAGCAAACTCACATAGGGCTCTGACCCTGTGCGAACCCTGACCCCTGTGGTTTGCTCCCCCCCATCTGTCCCTCAGACTGCAGAGGAGCGCGTCCAACTGGCCGACATCAGAGCCAGCAGATGGTACCAGTTCAGAGTTGCTGCAGTCAACGTCCACGGGACCCGTGGCTTCACCGCGCCCAGCAAACATTTCCGCTCCTCGAGAGGTCTGTGTGTGTGTGTATCTACTTACTTGTGTGGCCTTGCTTTGTGACTAAGTTCCTGTTTGACACCCACTGCCCTCCATTTGTTATGGTTTAGACCTTGGAACAGGTGGAGCCTTTGGGAAAGAGTTTCAAGACTTGATTTGACAACTTATACAAAGCAAGTGTATGTGTTGAATATTCTGTCTTTGAAAAATTCAGTTTTTATTCACCTGCACTTTGCACCTTGCATTTCTTCAGTCTTTTTTGGACCTTTTTGTGTGATCCACTGCTAAGATATTCAACCATATAGCAGCAAGCCAAGCATAGCCAAACAAACATTTATCACTTTTAACTGATGTCATTTACTCTGCTTAGATGTGTTTATTTAAAACTGTATTCAGGTATACAACTTTTGAATTATTTCTTTTACCTTGTTAACCTGAATTGTAAATTTATGTTTCCCCTCCACGGTTTCCACACATTTCCCAGTGAGCTAAGGGGAAAGGCTAATTCCGATACCAAGCAGAATGCAAGTAATGAGTAGGGACTGGGTGCGCAGAACATTTCTTTTCTGTGTTGCAACCAGATCTTCAATTATGTCTTCAAAGGAGGGGTTTCCCCCTCTTTACAGTCATATAAAATGTAATATGTCTGAATTAGTCAGGATATTGCAGGTTTCAAATGAATGCAAGTGTTGTCTTGTTTCCAGATGGAGTGACGTAACCAGCCGATTCAGATCTTTGCCACAGATTAGTGCACAAGCTCTGATGGCATCTTGCATTGCTGCTCGACTCCTCTGCCCTGCACTTTTAAAGTTGAATTACACAAAATTGCAGTGTTGTGCTGCAGATGGCTTTTGTGAAAGCAATGGTGTTGTGCAGGGATTACAGGTTTGTGAATATAGTACTCTGTCTAGATTATATCTGATCCAGATCAGATACTGTGTGTTTATTTGACATGTAGAGGCAAAGCCATGTGCCCTCCAGTTCAGCCTTACCCAGCCCTGAATTCAGTGTCTGTAAATTTCTACTGTAAAATAGTGTCTGCATTGTGTAGATCACTTTTCCACCTGTGTAATGCGCATGGCACATCAACACGTGTTACCCACCTTATGTTATTTATTCATCAACATATATATGAAGTTGTTTAGTAGTGGAACACTGGCAGATTTCCTAAGTACTTCCCATGTTCTGCCAAACACTAAAAACTTGTGCCAAATACAAAAAAGTATTAGTGTGTTTGGTGGTGTGTGTGTTTTGACCTAGTCTGTCAATCCTTCGTCATACATTTAGTCCCCAGAGCGTTCTGGATGGCTGTCAGACAGAGCCAGACACCAGGTGGGAAAAGGATTCTGCTGCAGGGATGGAAACCAATCTCCAATCAGGCCAATCAGTGCCAGAACGTTGATAGATTGATGGGAGCTGTCATGGATTTGATGAACTCCTGGCCATTCTGTCATTCAATTGTTATTTATATAGTATGGCCATATCATCTGATTGCAGTTTTGCACAACTATACTTTGTAAGAACTGACTGCTTATTTATCTTGCACAGCCAACATCAGCTGGTATGTAGAACTGATGGGTCCAATTGTGTTTCTGGACTGGGTTAAATGTGTTTCAGGTGGAGATAGGGCAGGGGAGAGGAGAGCCAACAGGGCTGTGGCGTGAATCATTTTCTCATTACAGGGCTATTCCCTATGGTCTGGGGTCTGGCATGTGGTCCTGTCTTTCCTCCTGCACCAGGCTGACATCAGCAGCCGGCAGCAGGCTGGGTCACAACACATACAGATGGGTTCAGAACCAGCTTTTCTCTGGACACACATGCACATTAGTTTGAGTACAGGAATGCTGAGTTTGGAGCCAGCAACTGAGCAACATGTGTTTGTTAACCCCTGACCTGCGCTCTTGGTGCTGCCAAACGCCGTCATAGACGTGACATGACGCCTGTCATAATATCTCACGGCAGACTGTCAATGGAGGACAAATTACTTTACATGGTGTCATACTGGTCCCCCTCCTCAAGTGGTGAAAGGTGTCTTGGTCTGTAATACATTCAACCTGAAATTGTATTTGTTAGGTAAACTGCCCTGGCCCAAGATTTTATCACATACAAGTACCATAGGCCCACTCTGTCTTCCTCTCTAAATGTCTACAGAGGTACTCAAATTTGTCACTGCTGACAGTGTTGTTTCTTGTTGTTGCTATGTCTTCAGACCCTGCCGCCCCTCCCAGCCCAAGCAGTCTGCGTGTGACCAATGTGACGCTGGGAGACGAAGGCCTGGTGACAGCTCGTCTCAACTGGACCCTGCCAGAGGAGCCCGATATCCCCATACATCACTACAAAGTGTTCTGGAGCTGGACGGTGCCCACCAAGTCGATGGTGCCATCCAAGAAGAAAAGGAGAAAGACCACCAACGGGGTAATCTTCTCACCCTGTCTTAGTGATGTGTTCTTTCTCTTCCTTTCCTTTTTCCTCCCTCTAAGACTATGGGGTCCCGTCCAGGATTATCTCAGCATCTTCTTCTCTGGCCTCCACACAGCACTGTTAATATCCATGTAGGCCTGCAGTGGAAAAGAGGATAAACATAGAATAGGAATTGCATTTATTTATATATACTTGCAAGGCTATCAATCACACACACAGATTGATACAATGTGTTCTTCATTGTTTTATTCCTTCTACTGAAAGAACCCTTAGATGCACTGTTAAGCGTTGAAAGAAAACACATTAAGCGTGATAAATAGCCCTATTTATAGTTATAAATCGTCAATCAATGATTTCAAGGTCTTATGTTTCTTAAATAACTCAATTTGTGTAGTTTTTTGCTGTTGGTGTTATGGGTTTTTGGTTTTCGATTGTGTAATTCAGCTTTTTCTGAAGTGGGTTTATTTATTTAATTTGTCTAATTTTTAACATAGATATCAGTGGCTTCAAAGTCAAGTGGTTATGTAACTATACTCACAATTCCTATCCTATTATCTTTTGCAATAACACATAAAGAAGCCTCTTGTATAAGAGGCGCAATGTCTTCCAGTATCTTCAACCAAGTCCATTTGTCCTTGATTTTAACCTTCCTTAGACAGATATGACCTAGATGACTGAGAATCTTCAGACATGAAGTGTGTTTAAACTCAGGGGAGACTCAGTAAAACAGGACAGAACAGCTAAAGGCATCCAAGAAACATTGTCTAATGATGACATGAATATCATGTTTAAAAGAAAATACCATTGGTTCTTACTGTTTATGCCTTGGAACAGCTTAGTTGGCATACTCAAACATTCTCTGCTATTTGGTTCAGCCAGAAAGAAGAGTATTCATGACCCTTTGTCTGAGCTCTCACAAAGACAAAGCCCCCCACTTACAAGCACAAAGAAAGGATAAATAGAATTTGGTTATAAAAGCTTAAACAAACAGGCAAGCTAAGCGCTTACAAAGTTAGACTTCTTGGCATTGACATCTCAAAAAGCCACAGAATAATATTTTGATAGTATTACAAATTAGTTTTTTTGCTCCTACATAAAAATTACTCAATTACATACAAGCTTTTGGACTGTCACAGAACGAAGCAATGGGTCCATAAGCACATACAAATTTAATTGAACTTGTAAAAAAATCATATGACTTGATCACTGACCGTCCTCATAAACTACATACTTTTATACACATAACTGAATCAGTTTTCTACTTAAAGGTTTTGTGAGCCATTTGCACAATATATCTAGTAACGTGTGACCTGATAACACATACCTGTGTCTCAGTAGCTGTGGAGCATTTCATTAGAGACTGGAGCAGAAAGACAGATTGTCTAGACAGTCCACACACACCTCTATAGAGTCTTCTCCTGAATTAGTTTATGAAATGCATAGCAGATGTGGCACGGAGGCGATTGAGGTGGGAGACACCAGACACCTATTGACACATGTACTACTGGTTTCCACTTTGGCACCTCGGGGCTTTGAAAGCAGCCTGCTGGTAGAGGAATGTCAAAACACGCACAGTCAATAACAAGAACTCATCAAGCTCACGCTGATGGTGGAATGCTGCAAGTCAAACACAGTGAGGAAGCCCTGGGAGGCTCTGATAACATGGCTCCCTCACATGGCCCTGAAGGCTATCTCCTCGCCATGATACCTTCCCCAGCTCCACATGTGTTTTTAATAAGCAGGGCTTTCCCACAGTCCCGGGTTGGCCCAGGCTGAGCTCAGCTGGAACTATGACTGGGACAATGACAGGGCTTTGAAACAAGTCCCAAGTCGAGCGCGGTAACATACAAAATGCCAACATGCAAGTGTTCTGTTGTCACAGGCTCAGAGCTGGGTGGATCTGGAGGGACTGCAACAAAACTGCAGTTACACTGTGGAGCTGCAGGCCGTCACGTACTGGGGACAGGTGCGTCTGAAGAGCTCCAAGGCTTCTCTCCACTTCAGCACCGCCCAGAATAATGAGTCAGGTAAACATCGGTGCAAATTTTCTGTTGGTCATTCAACAGTCAGACTTGTAATGTTTTTTTTCCACTAGTGATGGCAGTGTTCATTGTTCAGTCCATTATTGTCCAGATTGAAATGTCTCAACTACAATTGCCATGAACTTTTTATATATATATATATATATATATAATCAAATCAAACGAAAACTTGGATGGACTGGTTTTTTGATTGCAAATCCATATGGCGTTGGCTGAAACAACCTGGCAGAATCCAATTTGTCTTTTTGTTTGTTTGTTTTCCTTGAGAGTTGAATTTTTCTAAATTGCTGAGAGTCTTCAGGCAAACAATCACGAGAATTGCAAAAAGAAGGGTACGCTGAGAACACATCTGCATTCATTCGGAGCTCCTGTGTTTTTAGGAAGACAGACTCAAGCCTCGGTGCTATGAGCGTGTACTTTTTAAGCATGTGTGGCTCTGGAGGGAATTGAACCTCTAACCTTGGCAGTGTTAGCACTGTGTGTACCAATCATGTTACACCACATCCATGCATAAAGAACGTGTTGTAACTGCTGTCATCTTACAAAGAAATAATTGTGTGTTTCTGTTACCATGCTGGAGAGTTTGCCACAACACACTGACTGTTTTAGCTACAGGAGCAAACATTTCTCCTTTCTCTTCCCAGTAAAATCAGTACTCAAGTCAAAGAAGGAGGAGATATCCCCTCTTGGTTCGACCATGGCCAAACGCCCCTCTGGCCCTCTAGAGGTCGGCACACCCTTCTACCAGGATGGCCAGCTGCAGGTCCGTGTCTACTGGAAGAACCGGGGAGGTATGCACTCTACTGTATTGATTTATAGCTTGGTTAGAATTTAATTAGAACCCCATTATGCCCATCAATCACAATGACTCATGTGCACCATAAGAAAGTGTTGACTTATTCTCAGTTACTCAAACAAGGGAAGATAATTTTTTATAAATGTGGTATCAGATGGTGTAAATAAAATAAATGAAACAATATGTCTTCGCAGATTGGTATAAACCTTCACATGGACTGGTAGACCCGAGCCACCGTTTAGTAAAGAACAATAAACACGCAGTACTCAGCCGTGCGATGTGATTTATTGACAGCTGTATTTAATAGATCCTCACCCTCGCACTAGCATTGAAGCGGCCCATTTTGTTTTACAAGCCCTGATGTCATAGGGAACAGAAACAGCCGTGGGTTGCAGCACTGCAAGGGGTTAAAGCCTATAGGAATGCCTGTCCCTGCAGCGTCCATTCCCCATCCCTTCTGTTAATACTAGAGTGGAAATATGGAAACCTTGAAAGCCATGCTCTCAGGGTAACCTGTCAAGTCCCATTCACTGGTCTATGTTATGTTACTAATATATGTCATCGCCTAAGCCAAACTCCACATCTTTGAGTCAAGAATGCAAACCCTGGCTGAAGGAGAGGCCTGGTGAGACACCAACTGCTGAATCAGAGTGAGAGAGAGAGAGAAGGGGAAGATAGAGTTGGCCCAGAGCTGTTAGCGAGGTTGGCCTGGACTCAGAGAGCTGAGTGATGCTGTCGGGGATCAAGCATGGCTAGGGAATCACAGTGTAGCAGAGCAGAGTTAATCCTGGTCCAGCTTCTTTTTCTGTCTCTTGTTTGCAGTGCTGGTCTGCAGTGTGTTTGCCACTGCCACTCATTAGTCTGAGGGATGACCCTGGCTTTGACTCTGACAACCTGGGTTCCACTACTGTAAACATACAGACATACAGATGGCCTGGAGAGTTGGAGTCTCTGGACATCTGGTTTGTGTGAAAGAGGAAAGGGACAGGTTAACTGAACCGTGGTTTAATTCTAACTCATTGTCTGTGTGATCCTAAGCAGCCTGGCCTCTGGGTTGTGTCCAGGAGACGATAGAGAACCTTACTATACACCAGCTCCGATAATATATCCCCATTTGCACACCCACACAATAGACAGCAGTCCGGCAGTGGCGGCACATCTGAGGCTTGCTTCCAGTCATGATTTATCGAACACTGCTGAGGTTCTGTTCTCCACCTGATTTCCATGTCCCATTTCTTGTTTTACATACCACTTCCCCTCTCCATCAGACCCGGCTAAGCATATCTTGTTTATTTTTTCCCGATTTCCCGGTTCCTTGTAATTCCTCTCTTCTGCTTCCAAAGAGCTCAGGGGCCCAAGTGCCAGATCTGTGTCTAAGCCTTCAAAGGACCACTTTTATCTCCTCACCACAACCCAGGCCCCCGCCGAGGGGTGAACATAGCATAACTCAATTATTAATCGGAGAACTATTTCACATATCCATACGACACCATTGAATGAATAATAAATATAAGATGAGGGCAAATAAACACTGCTGATGAGCTCAGGAGGAGCTACTGTACTGTTAATGAAGCGAATGTTGCTGCTGGACTCCGCAGCTGACAGGGCTGGTGTTTCCCCGGCGTAACCAAGGCTGCTACTCCACTGATGAGAATGCAGATCCTTAAAGTTGAAACAGAAAGGTGTGGGTTGGGAATTGAGTCCAACAGCGAAGAAACAGAAAGGTCTAGGAATCATTCCAGCCTGTCAGATTGTCTCTTGATATCTGATTAATGTTCTGTGGGGGCAACAAAACTAGATCTACTGAACTGGACTAAGTCGCAGTTTTAAGATATCTCACATTACTTCATACGATACCACACTACATTGCAGAGTTTGAGAGGCAGATGTGTTATTCTTCTTACTACATTTATTTGACCACTTTATTCATTTGATGCTTGTGTCTGATACATGCACATACGTTGAGAGCAGTTTGGAGTTCAGTGTCTTGCTAAAGGACACTTTAACATGTGGAAGAGAAGCTCAGGGATTGAACCACCAACCTTGCAATTAATTGCTGACTCGCTGTTTCAAATGAGATACAGCCACGTGTTACTAGTAACTTTGCGGATTAACATTTTGCATACAACACCTATGATGTTCTTATAAATACAGCTATTATTCATTCATAGTTCATAATTTACTATTGGTTAGTTTCATCTAGCCAACAGTATATTAAGTATATAAAAAGTTTTATAAAATCTCATCCTCCCTTTGCTTCAGACCCCACCGTAAGTCGTTACCATGTCCAGTGGATGCCTGAGTTCTGCAGCCACAACGAGACCCGAGGACCAGAGAAATTAGTCACGCAGGTCAGTCCCCACCATTTCACATACCTTTTAACTGACGGTCCAATGACAGACACAGTGCAGCAGTGCACAGAGCTATGGCTTGATCCACAGCTTTGTGCTATGCAAAGCACATGCCTAACCTTTTGAAAGGACAGCTCCGCTAAAGAAAACAACTCCACCGAGTGAGCCCGGAGCCCTGTTGCGTTGGATTTGCACTGGGCAAATCACGGGCTGTTGTTTTGAATATTATGAGTCAGTCGTGTGGTCAGGCATGTGGTGTGTTGGGCAATAAAACGCATTTACTTAAACAATGTTTCCCGGAATGGGGGATCATTCACCTCCAACTGCCCCAGCCACGCTTTTGCTTGGGGCTTTGTTTTAGGACGCAGAAGGGTCTGTATAGGGGTTTGGTAGAGCCTGGGTGTGGGGGGTTAACTTTTGGGGCTCAGGCTGATACAGGATGGCAGAGTCCTGGCAATCAACGCATTCTTTTGGGAACAGTGCTCTGGTTGCTAGGAAGTATACATTCATTTCTATAGATCGCTGGGAAGGATTCCAGGCTTGTGCTTTTATGTGAGCACAGCGCCTCATTCACTTTTAATCAAAGCCGTTTCATATCAGAGAGAATATACGCACACCCTCTCTCAAGGGACTGCCTGAAAATGTAGAACCTCTTTATCACAACTGCAAGCTCTAAATCCACTAGTCAGCTGTATTTTTGGTTTGTTTCCTCAAAAAGTGATGAGAAAGGCATTTTTTGTTAAGATCAATACCTGATTAAAGTTAGAAATGAGTGTAAAGTCTAAGACTGCTGCACAGAATTCATAACATTTTTCAGACCATTCTCTTTTCAAATTAGACATGAATTCACTTCAGTTGCTTAATTAAGTTCTTGTTGTGTTCCTGCTACATGTGGAAGTTATAAAAAAAATCATTTATATTGTAAGTTGAATAGAAGAATGGTGATCTAACCCCTACCATGTGAGTGTTCAAAGTGGTCCTGTAATGTGGGGCATGTTCCTGAGGCCTGAGTGGGAATGTGATCTGCTCTGGTGCTGTGTATTTAATTATCTCTGAAGCTCCATGGGACCTGACCTGGGTGACATGTCAAAGTCATCAGGGCTGAATAATGTGTTTCTTGGCTCAGGAGAACTACATCAACCTCCCGGGCCTGCTGTTCTCCTGCAAGTACAAAGTCACCGTTCACATGCTGAAGTCCAAGAGACGCTCCAAGGACGAGAGCACCACCTTCCTCACACCATCCTGTGCTACCATCCGGAGCAAGACTCACAAACACATCCCCTGCCCAGCGGAGGGAGGTGAGTAGTCAGCGGTTTGACATGTAAAGGGCATTTTAAAAATCGATCTATATTAACGCAGACACAGAAATTGGAACACTGTGTTAGCAGCATATTATAATCATGATAAGGGATAAAATCTATGCACTCTCACATTTCTGGAAATACATCTGTATTAGTTACATCTGTATGGTAAATATGGAGCTACTGCTAGCAGCCGGTTAGCTTAGCTTAGCACAAAGACTGGAAACAGCTAACCTGGGTCTGTCCAAAAGTAACAAAATCCACATTCCAGCAGCTCTAAAGCTCACCAGTTTACACGTTATATCTTGTTTATCGTCCTGTTGTCACTGTGAGGTTGCCTGGCAAATAGCGGAGACTCCAGAAGTCATTGTGCCCAGCTTAGATATACTCCATCATTTTTATACTTGATGTTTTGTACAAATTAACTAAACAAGAATGTAAGAAGTGATATTTGTGAGATGCTTGGCATGGCTGTTGGATTTTGTTTCCTTTTGGACAGAGCCAGGCTACCTGTTCCCCCCATTTGTGCTAAGCTAAGCTAAGCCTGCTCTAGCTACATCGTAAGCATACCGATGTGTGAGTGACATCAATCTTGTTATCTAACTCTCGTCAAGTAAGCGATTAAGTGTATGTTCCTTTAATATCAACGGCCTGGCTGAGCCCACCTGTCTCCTAACAGCTCCAGGGCTTCCAAAGGTGCTGGCTAAGCCAGAGAACCTCACGGCCTCTTTTTCCATCGTTGAGGGAAACATCACCGGCAACTTCCTGTGGCGTGTATCCAGGGTGGCTCCTCATCAGCGAATCACAGGCTTCCAGGTCACCTGGGCTGAGATCACCACTGAAAGCCGGCAAAACAGCCTGCCTAACAGCATCATCTCCCAGTCACAGATCCTGCCTCCCGTAAGCCTGTTTTTGTTAAAATGTTTTTCTATTACAACTCCCGTAGTAGCCATAGAGTATAGTCTATCAAATGCTTCAGATTTAATGTTTCCATATACCACAGGGACCGTGCTCTGTCATATATGTGTGTATATATATATATATAGTCATTAAATTGTCCCTTGCAGTGGGAAAGTATGTTCAATCATTTCATTTCACAGCATCTGTCCAAGGTGAGGGTGATTTGAGGATAACACTGTTTTGGCCTCTTTGCATGAATCTTGTGATAAGCGGTTGTGTGCAGACAGACACAGGGATAGATCTGAGGAAGTGTTGTGTCCTGCTGGAAGTTCTCCTCCTCTACCTTTTCATCTGCCTTCACGTCTTCCTCTTTTATCCTCCAGAGAGCTCTGAAAAAGCCGCTCTTTGACATAATCTGCTCCATCAACAACACGTTCTGCCTATCTGCACCTCCCAGCCTCTGGAACTCGTCTATAAATAAAACCACCCACCGCACACTTATCAAGCTGGCAGCAAAAAACGAGAGACAGCAAGCCTTATGAAAACAAAGTCTTTGTTTTTGTCTGTGTCTTGTGCAAAGACAGCCACCAAGCTGATACTTCCCGGTTTTACAGCCTATTCAAATTCGAGACCTGTCAAAGTCAAAGGCAATGTTCTGTTGTATTTCAACTGATTTCATGTCCTCTGCTGCTCTCTTCCCTCAGGACCATAACTTGCTTGTGGTGTCCAACCTGCGGGCATCCACCTACTACAGACTGGAAGTGCAGGTCATAACAACTGCTGGAGAAGGTCCTGCTACTGTCAAGACCTTCCAGACCCCGAACATATTACCAGTCATTCAACACCGTAAGTACTAAGTCGCTGTCAGCTGTTGCTATGCAATGACAGCCAGAGGAGTGTGTACCTTTTTATTAGCTAATTTTAATTATGTGTTGGATATGTTTGATATGTTAGTATCGTTGGTGCTGCATCGTGTCCACTAATGTGATATTGTTTTTGACTAAGTTTTGTTCGGTGGCTGTTACTGATCACTGCTAACAGCATACTGCATAGGTAAAAGCAATAGTGTGACATTTTAGTTCATTTGTTTATTTGTTTTCTTGCGAGAGTTAGAAGATCGATACCACTCTCACGTCTGTGCAATAAATATTAGGCTCCAGCCAGCATCGGGTTAGTTCAGCATAAAGACTGGAAACAGCTTGCATGCCTCTGTCTAACAGTAACAAAATCTACCTTCCTGCATCCCTAAAGTTCACTGACTAACACGTTGTTCAGAGCCAAGAAATAGTGCGGCACGTAACTCCCCATAAAACGGTAGATGCCATTTTTACTCTTCAGTTTTAAACAAACAAGAAGAACAAGAACATGTTGATTAGTGAGCTGATTCACCAGAAAGTTACAATTCATACAGGGATGATCAGTATATATTTTAATATCAACAGAGGGAATTACAGAAGTCCCCCTCAGCTCTACAGAGTGTGTTGGCATCTTTCAGTTCACTGTTTTGGTTTTTGGGCCCTCTCTCACTGCTCTCATTAGCATTGTTCAGACGCAGCAGGCAGCTGCCCAGCACCAAACAGCCAGCTTGTAAACATAGTTTAGCATTTAGCAGCTAAAGAATCAGATATTTCCCTCATGAACTGGTTGGGAGCAAAACAGAGACAAAATGAGAGTGGATATTGACCATACATTCATCAATTTGCTAAAACCACTCAAAGTTCGTAGGGAATCATATTTTGTTTCTGCTTGTTTCCGCTGCCCCCATGTTGCCAAAATCAGCAGTTTAAAGAGAAAAAAGATGCTGTGCTTCCGCCACATTACTTTGTGTTAGGCAGCATAATTTTTAAGCAAAAGACACTTAACACTGGGTGTTTAGCTCAGCAAAAGGAGAGGATGTAAAAAGTATTAATGGTCTAGATAACAGGTTAGACACGGTTGTGTATCAGCAAGAAAGGCTAGCAAAACAAGCACATTTTTATTGTATGAAAAAACAGTAGATCATTACTACCCTAAGCCCTGAATCTCTGAAGTGACATCTGACAGATCTCTGATAATAATGTGTGTCTTCTAGGACCCAGACTCCGGCAGCACCACTCTCACCACCAGAAGCCAACAGTAGAGAGACACTGAGCTGCAAGTCGAGGCAAACCCAATAGGGAGAAGTACCAGTGCTCTCTGCTCCTGTCTGTCAGGGAAGGAATGTGTGGAACCAAACAGAACCACAGCGCACCAGACCATGAACTGACCCCCTTGCTCGTGAAATATGGGTCCATCTTCTCCAGGCTCCACAACACTTCAGCTATTCCTTCTTAACCCCTCTCTCTTGACTGATACATGTCACCAGACGGGTTGGTCTGTACAGTGAACATACATATTCAGGAGGTTTTGAAATTCTAGGTAAAAGTAAGTAAGTAAGTAAAATTGTTGTCAACCAGCTGCTATTCTACGCAGCAAACAGGATATTAACAAAATTTCAATTGTGTGGATCAATGACAAAGAATTAGTTCATGGTATAGAGAAAAAGAAAATATTTTGGCAACTTGACTGAAGATGGTTGATCATGGATCGTGATGCCAGAACTGTAAAACAATTCATGAAGAATGAAAAGTAGAAATTCATCTATTTATTTTGTGTTACCCATTAAAGAGGCGCTTAGGCATACAGTCAGTACTGATGGATAATGTAACTAAAGTCAATGTTGTTAACCGAGAATATTTCACATAGTATGTTGCATGTAGTACATTTGATTTTTGAACTGTAAATTAATTACTTGCTTCAAATTGAAAGCTTGTAATGGTTTTGCATGACAACCGTTAGCATTCTGTTGGCATGAAATAATGTCTGTGTTACCTCTTTTCAGTATGTTAGCAATATTTCATTAACAGATTAACAAAGAATTATATTGGGAGTAATATGTAATGTTTATTAATGAAATTATAACTTGTGTGGAAATGATGAATTGTACATGTTCTTGGCTGTAGAAATATTTGTCGTGGAACAGTCAGTGAATGTCTATATTTATTTATGTGTGTATTACAAAGTTTGGTTTGGATGTGTGTGAATGTGTATGTTTTGCGTGTTCTAGTCTCAAGTTTTTGATCCGGCAAAAAAAATCTTGTAAAGACATTTTGTAAAAATGGAATTGTAAATACAGTCTTATGTTACATGTTATTTTTCCATGGTAGAAACTGTACAAAATGCTAAGTAATAAAATAATCCTCAACCCGTTCCCTTTGCTGTTTGTTTAATCGAAGCGGCTGTGAGAGGTAAATAGACATGCTTCTCTTCCCAGTATCCAACTATTTGGCAGTTAATGTTGCTTATTTTGGCTGTAAAACCCATCATGGCAGACTCTGTGTACAGCATATTCACTAATCGGTCCAGGAGCCTGAGACATGCGCTATGCACGTCCAAATAAACAGGTCATCTAGCTCAACAGCCCGAGCGAATTTACCATTGCTGAGGTCGGGCACCCCTCAACATAATGCTCTGCTTCTCAGAGCACTTGTGTATTTGAAAAGTATTAAATCCCTCCTCTGCTCAGCTGCCTTTCACCCTCGTAAAAGGAAAAGTGGAAATGTTTACAAAAAAATAAAGCTAAGAGTGACCCTGTGAGATGTAAGCCTAAATGTGTGGATTGCATGATTTTTTTTGTTTAAAACAGCATCTCAGCCTTTTTTAGCACGCATACAATAATGCTGAAAGGAGTGCACGCAGACTAGTGTCTAGTGTTTATACCTTTTATATATTTTATCATGCAGTGAAAGATGCATACATTACATTCTTAATAGTGTCAGTGAGATAGAGGCTTATTTACACCAGAGGTGCATGTGGTTGTTTTCATTACATTTACATTCAGCTTACAGCCGCTTTTGACCAGAGTGACTTAGAAGTGTGTTCAGGAACAAGATCTGTTGTTAAAAACTTTCTTGCACTGCACTAATAGTATTCTCTTCAATTGATGGTTCATTCGTCCATTTTTGGACATCAAAGGACACAGACTTTCAAGTTTTTGTAATATATATATATATATATATATATATATATATGTTCCTGGTCCTGTTGCCTTTCCTCTGTTTTTGGGCCATAGTCTTGTTTCAGACTGCAATTCTAATTTGCCTTACCTTTGATGCACAAAATGAGTTTCCCCAAATAGACACATATTATTCCAGTGTGCCACTAGCAAAGGCATGGTTTTCTGTTCTGCTCCTGGAGGTTAATCAGTGTCAAGTCAGTATTGCAAATAAATTAAAAATTTGAAATCATGCACTGTATTTTTTTGTTTCTGTATGAAACGGATGCAGTGTTTGCATATTTATGCGTGTGTGTGTGTGCGTGCTTGTTTTTATAAGTGGACGTTGCTGTCCAGATGTTTGAATTTGAAGTCTGTTCTCAAATAATTCTGAGCACTTGTTTTCACACACTCTTCAGTGAGTCAAACCTTCGCCACTCACTTCTCAGGGATGTTGTTTATGTACAGTTCTATTATGTCACAGGAGATTAGTTCCTCTTGGTCTGTGCGCCCTAATCCCTCTCTCTTTTCTAGGAGCGGGGCCAGTGTTTAGCCAAGGCTCCTTTCTATGCGAGCCAGCCCAGCCCCTCTCTCTTTCAGACTGTCACAGTCATTCTCTACACACACCAAATACCATGGCCCTCAAGTGTGAAAACCTCGAAACAAAAGGGCCTCTAGCATCTTTTGAGGCATGTTGCAAGACGTCCAAGTCTCCGAGGACACAAAAGAAAGGGAAAAAATGCAACAACTAAATAATAGGCCAGTCGTCAGTACAAAAGCTTTGTCTCTGATGGTACAAGGCCAGTGAGGGCTTATTCACTTTGCATGACATTACATCCCTATTGTGAAACGCAGGCAGGGGATATTGCTTTCAAATTGAAACACATACTTCTGAAAACAATATTATTCATTTGGCTCTTTGAATAAGTGAAGTCAGTTAAATATTTACAGGTCTTCTGGTTGACATTAGCCCTCATCTTATTAGAATTGAGAATAACAGTGAGTCCATTCAGAGGAGCGCAACAAAGATAGGCTGTTTCTCCCACACATTTCCACTGACTGACCCCTTAGCACCCGTTCTGCAGATTAACATTGCAATGAGTCGTGCATCACTATTTATCAAATTTAAACCACTTTTATGAGTCATCATACAATAGTTGACAGGGCCACTGTAACATTACTCCTTAAAAGATGGGTGGAATTTAAGTTTTGATGATAGGTACGATCCGAGCTTGACTTTGAAGAATGAGGCAAAAAATAAAATTAATGGACTTTACTTTGCCTTTTCAGATGACACTGATGGTAACCTTAATGATTTGAAAGCAAATTTTACTCTCATGTGAGTTTCAGGTCAGTGAGATCATCGAGCAGAGCCAGGCATTCGCTCTAGATTACTACCACATGCACTACATCCATTTGCGCTGGTACTCCTTCAATATGATGAGATGGAATATAGTGTCTGTGAGATTGATGAAAAATAACCAGTGTTTCCCCCCCTCCATTAGGAAGGCAATGTTGCTTTAATGCTGTGGTATGGTGAGAAATCTGACCTTGCCCTGGGCAGTGGGCATGTTTCTGCTTAGGCTCGGGTGAGTGGGACCAGGCAGGGGACACATGAAAGGATTTCTCTGTCAGGCTGCAAAGATGTTCAGTCTAAAGTCTAATGAAGACCAGAACACATGGACAGACCTGAGTACATGCATGTCTCACATTATACAAGCACATTGAGCTACAACACTGTTGACAAGCTTGATATTCTTCTCCTGTTCTTTAAAGGTTGACAAAGTGAAAACCTTGATAAGTGTGTGTGCTGAGATTAAAAAGCTACCAGGACACTGAAGTAAACATGCCACATCCAAAGACAGGCTGATATTGTGTTTGTTTTCTCTGTCTTTCATTTTAGCAACTATTTCCTTTGCCTGAGTGGCTCCACAGGGAACTTGATTTCTAGAGTCTGTGCCTGGAAAAGCTTTCTTTCATGAATATTTTGGAAGAAACTGAAGATGTGCCATCTTGGGTTGTACAAGTCAGCAGCTGAGCTGCTGTAATAATACCACAAAAAAATTCTTTCATATAAACAAAGTTACCAGCTTATAAGGTACACCTGTGCAATCAAATGCAATCCAATCCAATAGATCTCCAATAACTCCAGTCTCATAATGTTCATTGTAGATGACACTGTGTCAGAGAGCAGTTGATTCAGCTATTTTGTGGCAGCTGTGGTGGAGACATATTGGGCTATTATAGAGAGATGTGTTGTGGGAGGCAAAATATTAAATCATCTCTCAGTATAATCAATGGTGGAAGATGTACTGCTATCAACACAATGTAAAAATCCTCTCTTACAAGTAAAAGCCATGCATTCAAATTTCTACTTAGGTAAAAGTGCAGAATCAGTGTAATCAGCAGAATGTAATTAAGTAATAAAGTACTAATAAGGTAAAATGAATCTCATAGTGTTATTTATTATGTATTATTTCATTATTAGTATTGTGGCTAATTATTACATTATATATTATTTATATCATTAATATTGGAGCTCATTTTAATTTCTTATTGCAAGGTCTTTTGATCTATAATAATGCTTCATACTGTAGTTTGTAATCTGATCAAATGTTTTGCATTTAAACTTTAAAAGTAACAGTTTTATAAAATTAAAATACAATTAAAAGAAAAATAGATAATTAAAAATCAACTAAAATCAGGAAAGGCTCTTCTATAACAGTATGTTTTAAGAAGAAGCTTAAAAGAGTTCACTGACTCAGCTGCCCTGATTTCCTCTGGCAGGCTTTTCTGGAGCCTCGGGGCCCTGACAGCAAACGCTCTGTCCCCTTTAGTTTTCAGTCGAGACTCTGGAACAGACAAATGACCTCTACCTGAGGATCTCTAGGTACGTGCTGGTGCGTATGGGACAAACAACTGTACAGTGCATCTTAAATGTCCATGGAGCACTTCCTTTCCAACACTGACTCTAATGCAGTATGATAGAACAACAATGCTAACTACAGCCTCAAAAATGACCATACATTGAATTAACACCTCACTGAAATACAGTGCAATGAATATAAACATTTGAGCTTCACAAATAGAGGATTAAGCTATTGCATTGGAGTGTGCAGATTTAACCAATAAAATCATTGCTAAGTGTAATTATTGATAGGTCTTTTATTAATGTCATTACTATTGCTATCATTTCCAGTACTATTTTTCATTCTTTATTAACATCTGTACCACTACCACCATTACCATTGTTTTACATCTCTATGTGGAACTTGCATTTGGCTACTTAGTGCTCTCTCTCCCTCTCTCTCTCTCCCTGTCCCTCTTCCCATTCCTCTATTCCTCTTCTCCCAGCTGGTCGAGGCAGATGGTCGCCCACCCTGACTCAAGGTTCTGTTTGGGGTTTCTACCTATTAAGAGGGAGTTTTTCCTTGCCGTTGTGGTCAAGTGCTTGCTCATGGTGGGAATTGTTGGGTCTCTGTAAATATTACGGTCTAGACCTGCACTGTATAAAAAGTGTAATGAGATAACTTCTGTTATGAATTTAATTGAATTGATTTGCATTGTAGGAAACCATTTATCTATGACTGCCCACATCATTATTCCCACAAGTCACAAGCTAATCCTACAATTAACCTATAGTATGAAACACTTCACATACATTTTCCCATCTCCTGAATTGAAACACACTTTGGAGTTTAGGTCAAAGGTAAGTGAGAGGTCTGGTATGTTTGTGTTTACAAAGAAAATGTCTCCAGAAGAATCATTATCCAGAGCCCTCTCTCTAAACCAAACATCTTTAGGCATACAAAGTGGTGAGATCAGGAAGGAAAGCACCATCCAGCTGGGTAATAGCTGTTTATAATCCCCTCTGATTGGTGTTAATCCCCTTAATGCTCCTTCCTGAGAATAAACACATGTTGACCCAAGTGACCCGCTTCTAATTTATGAAGTTAGGAACTTTGGTATGCTATCATCTCTTCATTGTGGTCAATCCAATTTTACACAAGCATGTATTGAAGCAAAATGTGCTCTTAATGATACAATTTAGATACAATCAAGTAATAACTCAAAATACAACAGCTGACACTTTTAAATTGGAATCACTGGCTGGTTTCTTCTTTTCACAGTACAATACACCCCCCCCAGGCGTGACTAGTGGTGAGGGGCAACTTTCCTCCTTGTGTTCTTTTCTGCTGTGAAGTCAGTGTGCAGA